TGCGATATCTGCCGCGTACGACGCGTGTACGCGCGTAAAGCTCGATTTACACTTTCGCGATGCCTCCGTTGGCGAACATGAGGGAAAATACGTAGCGAAAACTAAACGATCTTTCCCAAATAGAAAATAACTGTTGGCGAGACACTGACCGATTTTTAGTCGAGCAGATGCCGATTTGATTCTGGTGGCATGTTGGAATGATAACGAGACTCGAAAGACAGTATTGATTCCCACTGTAAAAATACCAATCGATTCCGATTTTATCGGGGAATATTTTTTACGAGATAGCTTCTCTCGCGGATGCCCTGCTAATTACTCTCATCGGTGGCTGTTTATTTCCAGCGAGATTACCGTAAGATACCGACGACGCTTAACTACGGAGCCCCGTAGTTCAAACGGGAGCGGATTAACCGCGCGCTTTGGATTGAGCGGGCTGTCGCCCAATACTACAGTGGAAATCTCCCTTAAGCTGATCGAGGTGCTCCGGTATCATTAGAGGAGCCATTCGAGACTCACACACGCCCATCTTGTCCGACTTCTCTTGGAGAGAGAGAGAGAGAAAGAGAGAGAACGAGAGAAAGAAAGAGAACGGTTCTCGTGTCGAAGACAATGCCGCGTATCGTGCATCATATTTCACGGTCATTCCTTTTTGTGTCCGCTGCATCGTCGGTTCGGGCCCCGATGGCGACGAAAATTCCCCTCAAAGGACCACCGTGGTACCGCGGCCCTCCCGCGACGATGTGCATCCACCTTCTTCTTCCCCGTTGCTTCTCCCCCATAATCTTGCTTCACCTGTCGGCGAATGTTATCTCGGAATATGTCTCGCGATTGTTGGAAATTTAATACGTACACCTTTCGGAGACGATGATCCAAATATGAAGAAAAAATTTCTCCAACGGCTAAAGAGTGTTTCTCCAACCATTGTTAACCAAGTATCGCGAAAGTTGGAGATACGTACCTGGAACTTTTGAAAATATCACATTTCGAGATACGTACCTGCGAATGTCTCTCGTGGGGCTTTTATTTCAACGTGCGCTTCCAATTTTGGCGATACACGGTTAACGGTGAATCGAAAATTCGGGAGGATGAGCGATGCCGCGAAATCAAATTTGGGAGTTTCGCTCTGTGAAACGATATCACTGTTGGGAATTACGGCATCGTTCGATCTCGACGTTACATCACCTTATAATAGTCTGAAATTGTCGATCGGGACTTTGAAGCGATGTTAAATGCAACTTTCATGCGGCTGGCGCAATTTTTACGATCCGCCGTAATTGCGGGGCAAGTGCCGTTTATTTATAATACCGGCGTAAAAGTTACAATGTCGAGCCACGGTCGGAGACGCGGCTAGAGCTGTATTAATATATGGCGCCGTTAAACTCATCGCGTGACCCGCTATTGTTCCGTCTCTCAGCACGTACCATTAGATGAGAATTTGTTCATTGGCCACGTAATACAGGAATTTTAACGACGCGGCATGTAAAAAATAACATTTTCTTGTATTTAACATTATAAATGCATTATTTTTACATAAAATTTGCTCGTAAATAGTGTCAAAGTGTGAATTTTTCACATACTATTGCTCCTTAACGTATTCATCTTGCGTTAAATCAACACAAAAAGTTGAGCGGCCATATGTTAAAATTAATATAAAATTGTTTACAGGAATTTTTCTGTCCTTGTGACCGAATTTTCTTCGGACAAAGGGAAATTCAGTTCATGCTATCGGAGTCACTTTTCCGTGTATCTCCGATGCGTCATTATTATGACATTTCCTGCCGGTCTCCTTCACACTCGTTCGCTTAGAATTCTATTTATCGCTCCGAGGTCTGCTTCCTGGTCCGAATTCCGCGAGATTCGCGGAAGTCGAGCATAGAGCTAATAATTTCACTCTAGCGACAAAAAGAGCGGGCTTCTCCCTTAATGGGAGCCATTGAAGCCCCTTGACTTTACGGCGGCGTATCTGGCTGCCATTGACGCGCTCGTCTTGAATAGAAGGATTCTAGCCGAGGTTCATAAGCCGCGCGTTTCTTATTGATCGATTTTTCGCATTCCTACGCCATTGAGCACAAGACTGGCATTGTTTGTTGTAAGCGCGAGATACGCCGACGGGCCGTAAGATAGGGGAAGTCGTAACGGGTCGCGGATAACTTCTCTCATGGGCTCTTGTTGTGAGATCGATCGCCGATACATCCGCAAGAATGTATTCGCGACTCAGCGATCGCGTTGCTGCTGATAAACACGGGATCTCTGTCGGGGTACTGCTTTAAGCGACACAGGATGTCCCTCGCGGGGAGAAAATTCATACGGGATGTCGAAAGTGCATCTCTCCGAGCGCATTCGATCGCCGCATAGACATTTTCCCAACATAGATTAGAATACCCAAAGCAGTCTAAAACAGGTTATTCTTCTATCGGGAATCCTAGTCTTGTACCAAACACGGGATGTAGCCTTTTTTTCACGATGACGATTGGCTATTGTTTGCCTCGTGCGAGTGTCATCGCCAAAGTTGAACAACAGTTGGATCGAATATCAGAGATTAATAAACGAGGTAATGTTATTACATAGAGAGGTGTGTGCGTACACTCGTAAAGTGTGAATATTTCAAGTATTTCGTAGATTTTGTTCAGCCATAATATAGATGGTGGAAAAATATTTTGTACTTGCGTCACGATCGGCCCTTGTTAAGATTTTTAACATACTGTTAATTTAATTGCAAATAACGTTATACTTTTAAATAGAACCTGCGTAGATTCCTCAACTTAGAATCCATCATTCTTCCGGAATTATTCGGAAAAATCGGATTAGATCGAAATTAGATTCCGAGAAAATGTCTGCACGGTTAATAGCAAACTCCGACAAAAGTCAGAATGCCTCGTTTCCGATCCGGCTGCAATCTCTTCGATCTCTTTCCGCTCCTCTCTCAGCCGTCTCCGGCGCTACGTCTCGTCGCTCCCGTGCGAGTCGGATGCACCACTTACGAGCGCGCATCGCGTGGAAAGTCAAGATAATGCGTTTTTCTGATTTCGCGCGCACGCACCCGACTGTTGCTCGGTGGTAGCGGCGGGCGGTCTTCCCTTTTGCGGCTGCATCGTCGCGGTGCATCCGCTACCTCCTCTTCTCCGCGTCGTAATGATTAATTAAGCTTTCCGAGAAAACGCAACAAGTGAAACGTTATTAGTGCTTAGTGGCACACTTTACTCGGTTCAGTGGCACTCCCCCATGTATGCATGTTTTATTGGATCGCTTTCCGCTCGAGCACCTTGATTACTCGTCAGCCTTTAACATAATTGGCCCGTGACAATATTGTTAGGAAATATAAGGTTTAATGCGAAGGAACTCTGTACTAAATGTTTATAAATATGATTTATGATATGCAGCTTTGACTACTTAGCAAAGGAATATCGAACTTATATGTAACGTCTAAAAACTCACCGAGAAATAATCGTTTTTCGCGCTTTGATGTATAATACTTTTAACTGGAACTGCCCGTGTTGGGCATCATAGATTTGTGAATATATTATAGTCCCCACCAAATTTGTACAGGTTATCGGATTGTGATCACACAAATTGTGTACAATCGCATAGCGCGCGCATGAGAAGGCGAAAGGAATGTCTGCCCGCATCAACGAATGAGAGTATGTAATCAGTCTTGTATTTAGTACGCCATCATATATGTGTTGATCAATTTCGCGATATTTTTCGATCGTCACGGGGAAAGACATCAAAGCGTATCCTCATCTGCATCTCGTCCAGTTCCTACTCGCCGCTTTCAAGTTCGTCCGCTTTTTCTGCGGAGAAATGATACGGCGGTGCATCAGAGCGCAGGTCTATCATCGCCGTGGGCGGTTTTCTATTCGCGTTCCTTGCTCGCCGTTTAAGCTTATGATTACGAATAATTAGCATCGAAAAGCGGCGAACAAAACACGAGGTTCACGCGAGCGAAAGCGCGCTCGCTCCGCTCCGTTTATGCGCTTCGGTCGCCCAGCCGTCTCTTGCACCGAAATTCATAGCTAATTTTTTCCCTCTGATAACGCAGTGTAATACCGCGCAATTAACGAATCGAGTTTGCACCTATGGGAACGGCAATCCCGCGAAGTAACGGATGCTGTGATTGCATGTCGACGGAGGGGGAGAACGGTGGAAAAATTGGGACGTGCGTGTGGCGTTGTTCGATCGAGCCGAGATAAGGCGACGCGAATCGATCGCCAAGATCTATACGCACACCGAGCTACGTAGTCAGGCTGCACGATGATTACGCCAACGGAAGCAACATGTGTCCGAGGCTTGTCAACGAGAAATACATCTTCTGCCTGCAGGCACGGTACTTGAGCTATTAGTCGCACAACTACACGCAAATCGCACTTTTCCAGATAAATAGATTTCCAACGATTCTTGCCAGCGATAATAGTTGGTAAGGCTGACCTTCGTGGATATTTCATTTCACCTGTTATATGATTATTTGTCGCTGAAAGTATGAGAGAGATCACAAGCATGCGTAACGAATACGTTTGTATCAGACGTGTTTAATGAAAAGAAAAATGTTGTCCGGTCGAAATTTTGCTCTTTGTTAAATCTCTAATTTTACGACACAGTATGATATGAGATAGGTCGGGGAGGGGAGTAAAAGTAGGTTTTTATTAGTCTATAAGCCATCTAAGTAAACTATTCTTAAGAGCGTCAAAGTAGAATTTTCGATGCTTTTTTCTTTCGGAGGGATTTATCGTCCGCATTATTGGCTTTAATCCAGCGTTATCATTCGTAGAGAATAAGATGTGTGCCTCAGTCGTCCAATAAAGATTAAGATCGCATTCCTGAAATTTCTAACTCAATGAAACCGAACGAAAGGGAGGGAGATGCTGCAAGCGATAAAGGAGTAATTGCTCCGTCCGGCGCAAACGGTTTTCGGTCACGAAAGTGTAAATTGCGGTTTACTGCGCTCATCGATCATCGTGTTTATACAATAAATCGAATTATGTTTGCCTCTATCTCTGTTGCAGATCGATTCTAGTCTTGACGATGCTTAGCGCGGCCGGTGTCTCGTCCTCCTACATGCCCGAGAAATATCCCGTAGAAGTGAGTCTTTATCGTTATATTTGTTATACGAATACTTTCGAAGAACCAGTGAAGAAATTAATTTGTTGAAAGTGCACGAAATAATATTATAGTGGCAACTCTACATCACGAAAAAAATGGTAAAAATCGTGGTTTTTTAGTCTTTCTTATATTAAGTTAAATTTTTACTTATTGTCTTTGTATAGACTGGTTGCCGGCAGGAAACTAGTTATTTCATTGGGTCAGGCTGATAATAACAGTGGTCGCTCAACTTTTTTCTTATACAAAACATAGCAGGAGGGATAAGAAAACGCGTGTAAGCCTCGTAGACTATTGCCAGGGTGAAAAAGGTTGTCCGTAATTTCTGCTTGAAATCTTTTGCAACATATTATACACTTGAATTCAGTCTTCCTTTTTAATATTCATTTGCAAAGAGAGAGTCTTTAGTATAAAATAGAGCATCTGTCGTCAGTGAGCGAGGAATCGCGGGAGATTAACGATTTAATGGCTAATAGACGCTACAAGAAGTTGGTTATAGTGGTTTTCATTGAATGCCACGTTACCAATTAAACGCTAACAAATAATCACAACAAGCTCGGCTTGTCTCCCGGCTATCGCTGCGATCTCACCTCTTCGTCGCGCGATGCATATTAATTCAAGCCACTTGCGGGAATTAATACGCAATTACGTGGCGGCTATACCGGGTGGCACGTCGAGAGGGTAATTAATTGACACCGAGAGGAGGTCCCTAAATTACACTGGCGCGACGGGCAAGGCCATACGACGACTAAGGCGACGCGCAAACACTCTCCGCTGTTCTGTGAGCCACGTGCACTCAACACCGCGTTATAATTATGCCTAAAGAGTCCGTTTGTTCTGGAAAGCACGAAAATAGATCGCCCTAGAAAAGGCGGACCGCATTCTCGAAGTCGCACCCTTATCGTGGACCTGAAACGTTCGTTTGAAACGCATCGATTTATTTTGACAAGCACTGAATAATTCCAAAACAAAATTTCACTAGATTCCGACCGCTCATTTATTATTAAACAGCTTTAAGCGTATATACATTTCTCAATCAATGCACAATTATATTTATTATATATAATGCTGACCTGATCCGGGCTACTTCTACCCCGATACCGCAAACTATCGTTGCACAAATGTTCTCTCGATGTTCGGTACATTGTATCGTTGAGCACCTATCGCGTATTTCCTTCTTTGTGCAGGGCTGTACCGTATAGTAACGCGCTGTGATTAACATTCCGGAGTTAATGCCGGGCATTAAGGAAGTATTAGTCTGCCGAGGTTAACGATTTGCAAAAAGGCGGCTGAAAGCTCCTACTAGAATTCCAAATTCGTAGTTTCTCACGAAATGATGCGTAGTGTTTATGAAAAATTAACCGCCCGTGCTGTATTCTCTCTTCGATGAATTTTAGGTTTCATAGGGAGATTCGAAAAAAGGAGAGATTATTTTTATTACGCTGTATGTATTATCACTTTTATTATAATATATTAGTACGGTTGTTTTCCTCGAAGAAAATTAAAAAATAACACGAATTCATAATTACAGCGAATGATACATTTAGGCTATTTAAATGATGATCATTTTCGAAATTGATGTTTACCAAGGAAAAGAAGAGAGATTAACGGGTCTTTTAAGAAGCACGGATTTTCTAGCTTTGTTAATATTATCAATTGTATTAATGTCTGCGAGAGCTTAGCCGTGTATTGACGCAAGGATAATTCCCCGGCTCATATACGCGGAGAATAAATCCTTACCAAGCAAAGTCCTTCAATTCCCGATTAATATAATCGAGATGCATTTTCTATTTACTAGTCCCAGGATTCTTTTTTAGCAGACATATTAATATTTGATGACACTGGAAAATTTGTGTTGCAAGAGGTTTGTTGATCTTTTTTTCTTCCTATAGTTATTTCGGCCTCAATATTATTATAATATTATTATATATAAATTTTCTCCTAGTTTTAACCTAAAATGTACTAGCAGCAATATGCACGTAAGGTTATCATTACTGACACTGTAGCAACACTTATTAGAAAAATGATAATAACTTTCCCTTATGCAATTATAGCTACAAATAGACAAAATTGTTCTCTCAGTGTAACTTCGACGTCCTTTCGAAAATTTTCCGCCGACAAATATTGAATCAACACTTGGTAAATCTTCATCGGCTCGTTTGGAATAGAAGAAGCGATGTAGTAACCGTCAACGCTAGCGTGGATGGAATAAAAGTCGCGTTTAAGAGGCCGTTAAAGATGGAAGGAACGTTACTTGTCACTCAAGGTAGACCGGCGAAATTTGTATTCCGGAATAAAGATCGAAAATATGTGACTCGATTAATTAGACGCGATCGAAGGGAGGAGGAGATATTCGCGTGAGGATCCTTTCTCCCGCAGAACGATATCCCCTCGGCGAACTTCCGGCAGAAGTTAATACAACGGACAGCTCGCTGAGATAGATCGGACGCCGTAAATCCAGCGCGTAGGTACCGCGATCGATCTCTCGTTTAATTAATCACGACAAGGGAGCCGGCGAAACGCACCGAAATGCCGAGGTCTAATTGGAATCTCGTTCGCGATATTAATTACCGAACAAACAGTTTGTGCTCTATGATGCCGGCGTGTGATTAACCGGAGTAGAAATACCGGACACGGTATCGGGGGCCCATCATTTAATTACCACCTAGGTACCTTTTTCCCTCCCCTGAAAACTATCGTCGCTCTTCGGGCCGCCTCTTACGTTCGCGATACAGAAGAGACGATATAGATAAGCCCGGCGATGCGTCGAAAGCTAGTTGTCGGGATGTGCGCAAGAATCTCATGGAAGAAGAAGTGTTCTGAGAGCGACGATTGATCTTTTCAGGTGTATCACATGTACCAGGAAAGAACGCAATTCGGGATTGGGCGTGACAATAGAGCAAGGGGCGCTTGGGGCACGTGGAGCTCGTGGAGCGAGTGTTCTCGATCCTGCGGCACCGGTATCCAATCCCAATCTAGGGAATGCGTTCCTCTACGGTGAGTGCGTCAAATTCAATTAACTTCATCGCCGTATTATTATCTCCGATTCTACGCACCATCTATCCGGTATTTATAATAGCGTTGTTATTTAATCGAGTCATGCGGACAGCAAATTCAATTTATTTTCCAATAACACTTTGAATGCTGACAAAATCGATGGTAACAAGCGCAACGCATCTCCTTCATACTCGCATTTTCGACATTTTTCCGAATCGCACTCAAAACGAGTGAAATGATTTTTATTTGAAGTGAAAACGCCGCACTGAAAAAAAGAAGGAAAATAAATGCTACATTCAAATAATAATTTGCTTGATCCATGTGAAATGATTATTCGGATGATTACTACAAGCTCTCGTGATGTCTCGTGCTTATAATGTGTTTTTGTACGGGAGAAAAAGAAAGAGTGTGTGTGAGCGTGTTAGAGGAGTCATGTACTAATAGTTACGAAATATTTTATAAGAATGGAATTGAATAATACTTACTAATTATCTAACAATAATCACGAAATATTTGATAACAGATGTTAAATATTTGGCAGCTATTTTATTCAGTTGATTCAACTCGGAATAAAAGTCGTTCATACCGCAGGCCAACTAAATACTTGGTAATTAATACCAAATTTCGCAACAGTTATTCCGACAAAATCTAACTAATTTAGTAAGTAGCAGCAGCAGTCAGGGTACAAAGCCGGAAGAGCTCATTAAGCGGGAGAGTCGAGCGCCACGTGCGTCCGAATGTCTTCGATCTCTCTGAAGCTCACCTTTGTCCTCGCGAGATCATCGGGCTACGATCTTTCGTGGGAGGTCACGTCGGTAATCCTCAGGCTCGATCGCGAGAATGCAAAGCACCTTGCGATAATGCGCGGTCGTTCCTAACAATAATCACACGTCTCGCGGTACCGTTAGAGTCTCGCGCAATTTGGATCGTAAGTCGTTGCATTTCGCAGCGGAACTTTGGACCGCGCGAGCGTATACGAGCTGTCTGTCGGCCAATCGATCGATCAGCAACGAGTTTCTACTCATCCGCGCGACATACTGGGTGCTGTGGATTCGAATCTTGCGCAACTTTAACATCGACGAATGCTTCTTTTATTCCCCCCTCTGCGGAATTTATGTTACGTTCTCGTGAACGCGAGAATCAAAAGCATTCGAGTAAATATCGTTTGTATATTTATTTGTCAAACAATGTTTGTTTATACTGAAAAAAGATTTGGTAATAATTATCAAGATTACTTTCGACTAAATTGTCTGGTTACTGCAGCCAAATCATTTAATACCACAGTAAATGTAATACCACATATGGTATTAAATAGTAACAAGTACAACATATGGTATTAAATAATAGTAAAAAGTACAACATATGGTATTAAATAATTTCGTTACGATAACCAAACAATTTAATTCGAATTATTCAGCCAAATCTTTCAATGCTCGCGCGTTGTTTGTTTGTTACTGAAACACATGAGAAGAAAATATTCTGTCGGCATAGCAAATTTCTTTTACGTACTCTTCTAGTTACATGGTTACCACGTGGATAGCAAGTAGATTTGATACACGGACAAAATGATTTTATTTTTTTTCTAACAAAACGTTGGTATAACCAAATTATTTTGCTGTAACTAAGAAACTCGCCAAGAAATTTGCTGCGAAATATTTTTCCCCGTTTACCCCATCGAACGGGTTCCGTGAGAATCCATCTCTGAGAGAGTCTCACCGATGAAGCTTCGTGACTGCGCTTGTTAAAACTGGAGTGACGTAAGTTGATTAATTTGTAATAAACTCGCGTTGCTATGGAAAGACAAAGTCTTGAAGTTCCGCACACCCTGTATGGTCTGCTCGGGCGGCTATAAAGCAGCGTGCAAATTACGGATCAGTAGCGTAAGAAGATTATACACCGGCAGGCGAGCTTCTCTCGGGGGCAGAAACGTGTTGTTATCGCCGCTGACATTTACACCTTCGTAACGCTACCGCGAGCCGTTACGTGACTCGCGGTAGCAATACGAATCTCGCGACGAGTTTCTCTCAATGTGCGGATTACCTGATTGAATTCGGTTAACCTCCCTAACGACTTACTATACGTGAAAAATGAACGAGTCGAATTCATTTCATGCTTCGGATAATCAGATACGGCAATATACTCGCATTACGCAGCGTCATTTACGCAAACAAATTGCGACGTAATTATATCCTCCGAATCAAAAACGGACATCGGTCGGATTTGAGCGCGCTGCTCTTCCGTTTTCCAAAGCACAAAACTCTACACGGAGATAAATAATTGGTTGGCAAAGTTTATACGTTTTATCGCGCGCATTGTTTGATTCTTTTCGCGCTTATGTGTCGCAAAAATTGCTGCTCGAGTTAATGCGAACGATTCGTTCCAGGAGACTTTTGAGGAGGCGAAGCATTATCTCGGAAAACGACACGAGCAGACCCACTTGCATCGGCACGTACAGGCGCTACCACACGTGCAATACTCAGGTAAACCGACGATGTGCTTTGTTGATTGTTAAAAAGAAAAGGGAGTCGCACGGAAAAAAAACAATTCCGTCGGTGTAACTGAACTTTTCAGGCGAAAAGTTGTACGCTCAGAAAAATGACAGCAGCTAAATCTCATCAGCTGGTTTGAACTTTCCCGTTATTGTTGATTATTAGAGATAATATGCATTTGGTACAATTTTATTAGCTGAAATTATTAGCATGGTTCAATTTCACGCAAAATCAGCTTCTGTGAAGAAAAGCGACAAATTTCTAGACGAGAATATATAATTTTAGTGAAAAGTAACTTTGCCACTGAAACCACATCGTTGTATATTTGTTGCGGCAAAATTTACCTGGTATAAACAAATTTGATTATGTCAACTAAATTTGATCGCTGTCGAATAACGACGTAGCAACAATAGTTTCATTACAACAATAAAATAATTTTTTCTCACAGAGATTTCTCGTCAGCGAGTTTTCATCTTACCCCTGCTGCTCCGTGAATTCTTCTTTTCCGCGCGGGAATCGTTTCCCCAAGCCGGAAAGTGGTCTCGTTCCGACAAATAGCCGCGGCTCGTCCGTCACATAAAATCCACGTTCACGCATGTCGCTACATCCTCGTGCACATAAATCAACGGATGCGTCTATATCTACGTCGGGCGCGCACATTCCTTTAGGATTTTCCTCTCGACGGCGCGTCACGAACAAATCATCGCGCGGGCCAATTAAGGATGCGCACGATTTATATCCTTGGTGCGCGCACGTGGCGTTGTTTAAAATTCATAAGAATAATCACCACCTGCGAAACTAAAGACCCTCGTGTAATGGATGGCTTCGCTCGTCGGCGAGAAGGGCTCGCTGGTGTTAATTAGCTCTCGTTGGTAGTAAAGATCGCGATAAGATCTGTTTACTTGTCGATGGGCTCTGATCATGTTTTCGTCAACTCTTCATTCGCGCCGAGATAAAACAAAACATTGTTTGTCGATAATGTTATGATACTGATATCAATATTTTTCTTTCAATCTTTCTATCAACATTTTCTTTCGATATTTATATTTATGTTAGTACTGCTTGGTTTCAATATCTTTTCGATGTTATTTTTTTTAATTTTTTCACCGAGTCGATCTTCAAGATATCATGTATTTTTGCTCTATGAAAATTAACAAAGTAATATGCGTTTGAAACCTATATTTTTTCATGATTTTTGTTACGTTAATTTTACGGTTGTTCATTGAAATAAAAGGAAAGCGTCCGGACATTTTTACAAATATGCGATTACGAATGTCATTTTGTGCATACAGAGTAACTAATGATATTTTTTTATTAGATATCTGTTTCAATATTAGTATCAATATTTTCATGGTATCGCAATAACCCTCGAGTCGAGAGCAGAGCATTTTTTTTTATTCATTTATCGAGCGACAATTTGTTAAATTGAATGATCTGGAATTAAAATGAGCTCGGCACGGGATTGATCGAAAGATGCGCGGCTTCGTTATTAGCCGGGAAAAAGCGGCGATTTCCGCGGGAATATTTATCTCCGCGCGCGCCCGGGACTACATTTCCGGGCTGCATTCGTGATTCGTAAACATGCCCGGGCAAAGTAACCACCGTTTCGTTCACCGGCAATTAATAGTCTACCCGGAAATTGCAACGCGGCCGCGCACGTAGCACCACACGTGCCGGCATTCGCATGTTTGCGCGAATATGCGGACTTCCTCTCGGCGGATCGGAATGCGAATTTGTTCTTTTCTGTTTTGCTCCGAGTCGCAAATAATGTTGCCTTTACCCACGCGCTCTGGGAAACGCGTAAAAAGCGATCGATCGCGGTTTTTTCGAAGGACCGCCGTCTCTTCCGCCGATCAACCCTGCAATTACCACGAGTTTAATTAATCCATTGTGCAGGAATGTCCAAACTTCCCGGAAGACCTGCGGGCGGAACAGTGCGCCAAATACAACGGAAGGAATTATATGGGCCGCAGCTATGTCTGGGTGCCCTTCGTAGACGGTGAGTGAATGCTGGAGGAAAACCTTTCCAACTGTGTTAGCTCTGAAAAATGTACGAGAAGACGCGGGAAGAATTTTTCTCCAAAATAAGAATTCAGGCTTTTTAAATATTCGATCGACAAAAGTTATGTATTTTTGCTGATTTTCTCTTATGATGTTATCCTTTCTCGCTGAACTAGCTGGGCTGGCTTGCACTAGTTCTCTTCTCCTCCTTCTTCCAAGTCTTAATATGTCTATGATCATATTCGGCCAATTTCACGTAAATTTTACTTGAACAGAATTTTAGAATCTAAGGCTTAGCTTCAAACATGTATGATGTTGGAAATTAAGAAATTATCATCAATAATAACGACCTTTCTCGACATTTTTGCTAAGATAAAAGTTACTTTTTCTAATACGAAGAATTTCCCCCGTGCACATTCCGGGAATTTTAGGGTACTCAGTATATTTACTATATAATCTGTCTTTTTTTTTTTAATCTGCAAGTGTTAGCACTAGTTCGGTGAAAAAGGAGCAATCTATTGATACGATACAAGGTTGTATGATCGTTCCGACATTGTGTTTCTCCGTCCGAAGTGTATCATCATCTTGGTGATTGAACACACCGATGCTAGGATGACACCCAGGTACGGTAAGCTAACTTCCGCGTGGCCTAATCGCGACTACTGTTCCCCAGCGCCGAACTCATGCGCGCTCAATTGCCGTGCAGTCGGCGAGCGTTTTTACGCAACGCTTGAACCGGCAGTAATGGACGGCACGCCCTGCGACGCTCCGAATCTTCGCGGACGCGGTGTCGGGATTTCGATGGAACGCAACGGCGAGCGGTGGCTCTGCATCGCCGGACAATGCAAGGTATGAATAGCGCGCGCAAGAGAGAGAGAGAGTAATACGCGCCCGCGAGAGTAACGATGCCGGAAATTAACGGTCGATATTGGCGATACGATCGGCGAGATCGTTATTGACCCGTGCACGCTTTCGGCCCTTTCGTTCCTGCCGGGGTTCATTGCACGCCCGACACATTGGTTATCAACAAGCAGCTCTCTCTCCGATTTTGTGTATCTGAGATATCGTACGCACGGGAAAAACAATTCCGTCGGCTGAGAATTTTCCGCAGTCCGGAGATCGGACGAAAACTCGGTTGTAGGAACAGAAGAAAGATTCCTTGCTACTCAATCAGTCGTCTCAACCGATGCAGCTGAATGTTCGCGGCCCTGTTGAAAAAAACCAGGTGGGAATTCATATAAGAAATCCATATGGAATCTTATGGTTACGGCGAACCTCTTAAGTAATGATCCATGTAAATTCCTATATGTATTTTCATACACCATGTGGATTCCTATGTTAATTTTTAATACCCTGTAATATCCTATATTGAGAAATTCCTTAGATTTCCATGGAAATGTCCCACCTGGAAATTTTCATCAGCGAGTAATTAAAGTATCATTTCTCGTCACTGAGTTCTTTTCCCGTGTAATACTCTATACTAATGAAAAGTCGTTCGTTTGTCGCTCTTCTTTTCAAACGAAATTTCACTCCAAGAAATTTCGAAAATATAATATAGCAGAAAAGAACGAATTCTCAGTTGAATTTTTCTCGACGGAAATTTCGAGATCATTAATTTCAAAAGAGAAGCCAATGTATTAGATGTTCGTTAAGAAGTGCTGAAAGAGTGTTAAGAAAATGAAATTAGGAAAAGAATCGAAAAAGATAGTCGATACGAATACTTACTCGAGAGTCTTTGGAGAAAATCGCAGTGAGAGAGAACAATGAACAATCCTGAACAAATGAAACGGAAACTCACGTGTTCGCCGTTCAGTTTGTAGGGTGTGATGGGGTGGTGGGTTCCGATGTGACCATGGACGCCTGCGGCGTGTGCGGCGGCCAGGGCAAGGGGTGCCGGTTGTTAGAAGGCATCTTCATGGAACCGATTCTGCCCAAGGGTCATCAGCAAGTGACCACGATTCCGAAGGGCGCAATGTCGCTCAACATTTCCGAGCTACGGTTCAGCAGTAATTTTCTAGGTAGCGTCGACAATTTTGCCGAAATTGAATAATTTTCTTGCATGATGAATTAATGCGTCTCGTTCATTAGTCTCGCCGAAACGTGGATAACGTTCGTTTCGATTAAAAAATGAAATGAAAGTGAAATCACGCGAATACTCCTGAGTCGAAATTTTGGGCTTTATATGAAATCTTTAACTCTACAACACAGCAGATGCTGAGAGATAGCGAAAAAAGATTTCAATTCTAATGATATCATTTGTTCCAACTTTGGTCTCGATGATGTCTTAAATTTCCGCTCAAAAATATATTTTTAATAATATCGTCATTATAGATAAGATTATATGTATTTTTGCCCGGTATGAAAATACAAATCTGAAATTAATATTAACTTTTGTCCACGTCAAATTAAAGGTCCAAATGAGAAGTTAATAAATGTCAGTATCGTCAAAGTAAGTCTTTCCTAGTCTATAGGACATCTAAATATCCTAATGAGCGTCAAAACCGGCGAATTTCGACTCGGGATTTGGCGGGAAGCAGGGACGAGAATAACCAAGTGGCGTTTCCTTTTTTTGCTCGCAACGGAGTGGTGGTTAACAAACGATCGATCTACTCGCAGCGTTGAGAGACAGTAACGGCAGTTACATCCTAAACGGACCGTGGTCTTACAGTCCCAGTGGTACTTATAAAGCGGCTGGTACGACATTAACATACCAGAGGGGCGATAGGAACCGCATGGAGTGCATCTTGGCAACCGGGCCGTTGAACGAGTCTTTGCATTTAGAGGTGCATTTACGTTGTTCGCTTTTTATTAGCCGATCAGATAATTTCATTTGCAAAAGTTCATTCCGTTTTTTAATTGTATACGTAACATTTATTTTTAAATCAATCAATTTTAAATATGCGCCATTTTGATTGATGACTTGCCATCTCTCTGGTAACTGCATTATCTCCCGTAGAAATTCTAAGATTTCTGAACGAAGAAACGAATTTTTGCATCGATCCAATACAATAAATCTTTTCGTTTTGATCCTCCTGTCCGCTTTATCTTTATCGTCAATTTTCACACTTTCATTGAAATTTCATCCAATTTTCGCGTAATAATTGCACGTTATCGTAGATCTTATCGTTGGACATGAATCCAGGCGTTCTCTATAAGTTCATGATGCCTATAAGGGAAGTGCCGGACGGCAAAGCGATTATTGCACCGCCGCTGCTCGTTGCGGGTAATTGTTTTATCGTCCTATCAATTACGTGCGATTAAATATCGTTGTTTACAGTCCGTGAAGTCGTAACGTTTCATTCTTCTCTGTAGGATCAAACGATCGGGGCAATGAAATACCAAGTTTGGATACTCACGTGACTGTACCCATTACGTAAGTACGCATGCACTCTCGTCGAATCTCTGACTTTCACCAAATTCAGGTTAAACTAATCGGCGAATAATAATAAAAATTATTATTCCAATTTCCAATCCTATAACTCGTCGCTTAATACTGATCAGAAAGTTAACAATTTCTATCTGCGTTAGCAAGATAGAGAGCAGGTAATATTGAATTGAAAGCAATTTTCAACCGTCGATTAGATTAATCAGAGTTTGATGAAAGTTATTTTACAGTCTACTTGAGTCGAAATTTTGCCCTTGTGTTAAACCTTTATTTCTGCAACACAGTAAAAACTAAGATAGCAAAATAGTTTTAATTTTAGTAATATTATTTATTTATTTATTGTTAATGGGAAATAATCCGTCCAACACATTAGTGTGAAAAGGGAAGTGAGAGAACGAAATAAGAAAAAATAAACAGGTACGCAAATTATCGGCGAAAAGTTGATATAAAATAAAGTGTAATTTGAATATATATATAAGTAAGAAAAATAAGAAAATAAAAACGCGCAAAATATAGAAAATACAATAAATCATCGAATATGGTAGTAATCACGATGACGCAGAGCGCTTAAATAGAGCGCTTAAATTTGATGAAAATTTGGCTAAATTAGGTAAAATGTGTCTCTACTATAATGAAATTTCCGTTTCTGCAAAATGGGTGGTTCAAGGTTCAACATTAAAATTAATGATCTGCTGTTTTTAGTTGAACTCGCTGCACTAGTTCAAGAAATTTACATACATATTAACCAGTTAACTGTTTTTGACGAGTATACTCGTCATGAAAAAAGTACAAAATTTTGTGTTATGACGAGTATATTCGTCATGAGTAATAAATAGTGGCAATTTGCAGTTTAAATTGCAATTTTAGTGAAAACTCAAATATATTCGTAAATTTCAAGATGTTTGAAATATTTTGAGGCCAAGTCGAAATAAAAGGAACAAATAAAAATTTTGTTACGGCTCGTGTGCGGGATTCGAGTTGTCATCCAAATTGAGTTGTGGACTACCTACCTGCTAACTGACAACAATATGGTAGAAATAGAGAAACGGAAGATACGAACAAAGAAACCTGAAGTAGTTATTGACTATAATAAGGAAATGGGTGGAGTGGACATGAATGATGGCGTAATGATTGCATATTCATCAGCAAGAAAGAGACTTAAAAAATATTATAAAAAAATTTTTCTTCATTTTTTAGATATTGTTTGCTTAAATTCCTTTATATTATATAAAAATAATAGAGGAAAATTGACGCGAGTAAATTTCTTATTGGAATGCATTGAACAAACAATTACATCATATCCAATTCAAAGTGTAACACCAACAGTAAGTCGACGAGCTAATTCTGACTCTACCCGTCTAATCGGGAAACATTTCCCGGATTATGTACCCTCAACTTCAAAAGCTAATCCTACACGAAGATGTGCATATTGTTTTAAAAATAATATTCGGAAAGAATCGCGATATTGGTGTTCAACTTGCGAAGTTCCATTACGCATTGTACCATGCTTTGCTCAATACCATTCTCTTACAGCAAATTAAAGTAAGAAATTAATTTTTCATGTTTTTCTTTTCGTTCATATGCAAAATATTTATATTAATTTAAGTAAATAAATAAATGTGAGTATTGAAATAAAAAAATAAAAGTCATTTCATTACAACCTAATTTCATATTACGCATACTCTGTGTTTGACGAGTATACTCGTCATTGTTAAATTTTTGCGACGCAATTTAGATACGCATTTTCCAAAGAGGTCGAAACAGTTAACTGATTAAAGCGTATGAAGCGTACGTACGAGGTTCTCAGTATGCGCAGATTTCTTCCCATTAAAGAAAAAACGTTAAATCAATTTTTTGGAACATTGTGATTTTATGGGAATTTTACAAACATTTTGACATGATATTTTATAAATATGTTTAAATTGTTACTTGATAATATAATATTCCTAAATATTAAAATCATAGTGTAGAAATATTATTTTTAGCATCGAAATTTCGACTCGGGTAATCCCACGTAATTTCGGACGATTCTTTGGGCTTGATTTTTGAATCGTCACGATGTATCATCGCGCGATGTATCTCGGGCTTTTCACGCGGCTCGGATTCCGCCGATGGACTTCCTCCTTTGTGCGACACGGGAATCTATGCGTCCGAGGCTGGAGTCGAGCCCCGCGATTTGTCTTCGTTCATACGGCTCGCTCGCTGCCTTCCAGATCGGATCGGCGGAACGATTTATCTTGGACGCGTCGCGATCCTGTGCGCACGCAGGACGTCGGACGGAAGGAAGAGATGAAGCATCCGCCGACTACAGTGATGGCGGGCGATCAGCCAAAGTCAAAGGCGAGAAAGAAGAAGAAGAGGAAGTTCGCCTGGAAAATAGTCGAGTTCGCTCGCTGCTCGAAGGAATGCGGGGGAGGTGAGTCGATAATTAATCGCGCGTCATGCGATACCGGAATTGGAAACATTTTCACCGGCGATCGTGCTATTTCGTATACCTCGCCGATGAATATCTCTGATAACTTGGAGCAATATTGTCCTGGGAAAGGTGATTTGCTCCTTTCGAGTACAATATCGTATTTTCAGTAGCTAGAACGTCTGAACGATCAAAAAGGTGGACTGAAAATGTTGAATTTTGATATATTTATTTTGTGAATGTTTTTACTACGCGATATATACATATATGATGTTTAGGTATATAAGGTCAAATTGGGCGTGCACAAACAAATGCTGCTAATACAAAAAAAAAGAAGTTATTTGGAGCCCGCCGTAAGAAGTCGATTAAACGGACAATTAGACAAAAAGCGGCCCGGGTAATTAAAGGTCATTACAGAAACGACTTCGTCTAGATCTGACCGAGGCGTTGCGTGGGAAGTGACCCGGGGTACGTTCGTTTCGGGACAATTATATCGAATGTTTTAGCGTGACGGTCGAAAGCTTGATTATGAAAGATATTCAATCTTTTTTTCTCTCACAAGACTACCATCTCAAAATAAAGTCAAAAGAAGCGATTTTCAAAACATTCCCTTTCCTCCGCGAAAGCTTCAATGATCAAATTCTTCTTTAATTGTTGTATAATGGAAATTGGAGTAAATTGTTGTAAATGGAAATTAAAGCTAAGTTTTGATTTGAATTGTTATATTAACACTACAAAATTGAACGGTTTTGAATCAGAGTACAATTTTTATACTGACCGGTGTAATTAAAGATTTATCAACTATAAAATCTGAATTTTTTGTTCGCGCCAGTTTGAGTAGGGTAAACGGAATTGAGTAATCAGAGGCAAGGAAATTAGGTGCAACACGGATGATCCGCGGGCTTTCGAGAGCGGAAATCGTCATTGATGTACGCTTCGTGCGCCTTCACTCATTCACTTCCTCGGCATCTGGATGTTGCACGCGACAGCATCCGATATCCAATGCTGTGACTTCCTAATTTAGATTGACGCGATACGGGCGGATAGCCTGACGGGAAAAGAACGAAACGGTCGATCATAATTCAAGATAGCGAAAATACTGAAGCACCCACGGTTTCTGCATCCACCACGATCATCATTGTTGCGAATCACGCTTAAATAGCGCCGTCTCATCGATAAGTTTATCTGTAAATTGTTCGAAGATGAAACGCTACGTATCGGTTATACGACCCAATGCATTCTCGCTTGCAGGCGTGCAGACGCAGATCCTCAAGTGCGTCCGTGAGAGCAATCAGACGATAGTCAGTGATAAACGCTGTCGCAACGTGGAAAGACCGAACCTTCCTCCCCCGTCGCGATGTAACGATCATCCTTGTGCCGCCAGGTATGTTTTTTTTTTTTCATCGAAGAAGAAGGATTTTTACATTCTTCGAGCATATTTTCTTCCGAGCAAAGCTTGTTTTTCAGTTTATCAAGAAAAATATTAAATTTACGTTCTCCGATCACATTCTTGCCGAGGAAAGCTCGACTTCCAGTTCATATATATATATAAGAATATGAATCTTGAATTGATACTATTTTTTTTGTCTGTGTGACTAAGTGAACACGTGATAATCCCGAAACACATATATTGCATTTATATAGTTTATGTAGTTTACGACTCATGCGGGCAAGTTTGATTCAAAGAACCGGAAATGTTGTTAGGTGGCGAGCCGAACCGTGGAGCGAATGCTCAGTCACCTGCGGGGTCGGTACTAAGACACGAAAGCTGGAATGTGTCCAAGAGATGAGCACGGGGCTGATAATGCGCGTGGCAGCCAGCACGTGTGTCCAACCGCCGGATCTGAGGACTACGGAAGCTTGCAATCCGTCGGCGTGTCCTAACACAGGTCCAGAATTGAGGCATATGCATTCGCAGCACGATGCGTCCAGGTGGAACGTGGGTGCTTGGGGACCGGTGAGTCATTCGTTCATTAAATGCCTTCATTGTCAAATGGCTATTTTTAGCGCTTTAAGAGAAGCAGAAAAACGACCATAAACATAGTCCTGTAAATAGTCCTGGAACTTCAATTTTCGATGTTCGCCTCGGTTGATGCAAAATTCGTTCCGTCTCTGATTGATTGTATTTTAAAACAAATAAATGTTATACATTTTATATATTTTGATTAAAAAACGGGATGAACTTTTACATCAACCCGATATTTATCATGCATTAAAGTATTCTAAGAGTGGTTCACTTTTTTTTCACTCGAGCCGTCTAAAAAAAAATTCGATCTTAAGAAATCATGTTCAATAACTAATTTCTTGAAGAACAACAGATTCAAAGAAAATAAAAAGTAATAGTGAGGAAATGTTCACAAAATGAAGAACCGTGATTTAATTTTTTAACTGTTTTTATCCGATTGAGAGAAAGACAATGAGCACACCTGATTGTAGTGAAATTACATGGTAAAGTTGTTTGTCCACGATTTATCAACGTTTTTTCATCCATAATTCTTGTTTGTCCACCAAGCTACGCCACGAGTTGTTAATAAGCGAGCCCCAAAAAATAGGCAATGACTATCATAAGCATGTCTGATTATGCTTACTTTAAATTGAGCATTATTGAATATTATTTTGTAAGAAATCGATTAACTAGTCGATTTTTAACGGAATAATTCATAATTTAAATAAAAAAAAAGAAAATAGGAAGTAAAAAGCAAGGTAATTTCAATGTTATCTTTATTTCTAGAAATAACGTTTTCATTCATTTTTTGCTTACTTTTTAAAAACTGACTCACTATTTTCTTATCTTTTGAAGAATGAAACTCACTATTTTTGACAACTGAACTGCTTCCATGTATCCCTGTGTATCAGAACGAGATTAAAAGTTCTCTCGTTGTTTCGTGGTCAAAATAATTTCGATTCAGGTAACTTTTTTCCGTATTTGTCATGTAATTATGCTCTTCAGTGTTCGAGCACGTGCGGCCGTGGAATTCGAAATCGAACAGTCACTTGCATAACGTCCGGAGAATCTTGCTCGTTGGCCAACAAGCCTGAATCCCAAAAACCGTGTGAGATAGCAGCTTGTAACACGGCGATGGAGATGGGACATCACGCGCCTTGGTTATACTCGGAATGGTCTTCTAAGGTATAAACTGTACACGCGTGAGCACATGTCGAATATTGTATTAATCAATGCAGTAGATATCGCGTGCAAACGAGCATATCCAGAGGAAAATGATTATACATGAATTTTGTCTCCATATAATTATATATGTTAGATGGAGATAAAATTCATATATAAATCACATATAATTTTATATGGTCAAATATATATAAATATTTGTTTTTTATATGATCAAATATATATATAAATATTTGTTGCCGGATATTGGAATATGCGACAGATCGTTCATTACTGCCATAGTGCTCCGTGGAATGTGGAAACGGTGTGAGAATTAGACGAGTGGCGTGCGCCGACGGCAGCGAATTATTTTGCAACCCCAAAGAACGGCCAGACATGGAGACCCACTGTTTCGGGACGAGCTGCGACAGAGCCAAGTGGTTCACCGGCCCGTGGACTTCCGTTAGTAGCACGATGACCGAAAAAATCTCAGTTGCTGCAGCTGAGATAGGGACGAAAACTCGAGAAATGAAAACAAGAAATGATAACTCTGTTACCGCGACTGAAAACATTCGTGTGAAAACATTTGGAACTCAGTCGAGAGCAATTGACTGAATAGAATCTTTCTACGACTGAGTTTTCGTCTGGTGCCTATAAGCGACGAAAAATTCAGCTAACGGAATTGTTTCCGCGCATAAATATTACGCTTGTTGTTCCATGGCAATGCTAAAGCGATCGCCATGGATTACATGAATCTTTGCACGAATTTGGCTTAAAATAAAAATTGCAAATATTTCTAGTTGTATACTGAGAGGAAAAATATCTAAGAAAATATATTCGGTGGATACTAATAACATATTTACTTATACTAACATACATATTTTTACACGAAGAAAAATTTCTTGTCCGAATGAAAGATAGAATAGACATTTTTGTAAATCTGTAGATTTTTATGAAAGCAAAATTATTTATTCTATATATACTAAAATAAAAATTGAAAATATTTCTAGTTGTATACTGAGAGGAAAAATATCTAAGAAAATATATTCGGTGGATACTAATAATATATTTACTTATACTAACATACATATTTTTGAATATATATATATATATATATATATATATATATATATTCAAATATATATATATTCAATAAATAAATTATTTATTGAAGTAAATATGTTATTAATACCTATCGAATAAATATTTTTCTCTTAGTACATGACATTGTAGTTTATGCGATATTGATTCTTCGTATTTTTCTCTTAGTGTTCGGTCTCATGCGGTGTTGGCGCGCAACATCGAGATACCGCTTGTATATCTAGGACGAATGACGAATTCGTCGCGCTGCCCGCAAAAAACTGCGGCGATCCCAAGCCAGCGAGCGAGCAAGTCTGCCGAATGCCCGCGTGTTCACCGGAATGGTTCACCTCGGAATGGTCAACGGTAAAATGAATCGGAAATAAATGACGTTTAGAGAAATTCCTCTCCAAGAACAAAACGTTATTACGTTTCATTTTCAGTGTTCCGCGACGTGCGGCTTCGGGATGCAAACACGACTCGTACGATGTATAATTGAGGGTGTCAGCAGCACCAGTTGTTCGGAAATCAACAAACCAATCGCGGAGCAACGATGTAACACGGAGCCGTGCAAGAAATCAGTAGAGAACAAACCGCCGAAAAGTGAGAAAACGTTCTTGTGACACATGTTACTAAAATTGTCCATTCTTCTAACGTATAGATAATGTGTGCGTTAAATTTGACGTATATTTAACAAAAGTATCTTAACGTTATATTTCAGAAGTGCACGAGTCATCCGAGTGCGTGGACAAATCTCCAAATTGCGCTGTAGTAGTGAAGAATGGTCTGTGCCGAGTGAAATATTACAATAACATGTGTTGCCAATGCCGCCAATAGCTGGAGCAGCGATTTTCATTCACCCGCGACTCAGTAATCGCGAGCTATCGTTAAATGAAATATTAATCGGAAGGCGATATGCCGAGCGTAAGACTGCTACAAAGAGACCAGAACCGCGTACGTATGTAAAATATTATTTATATCGCGCGACGAGATATAGCTTACACGTAGTCATGCTTTATTTTGCCAATTCTCGCGGATCCCTTCTCTTTACGAAGAATCCCAAATAGCACGCGGTGAATTCTTCAAGTATTCGCTGAAGTTTTCTGCTTTCTCGAGTTTTATCATTCTTTAGGAATTCACATGTAATAGAATATTATAAGAATGATTCAGAAAATTGCACTATGATTGGAATTCCCGCCAACTTGTCAGAATATTCATATAGAATTATTTCATATCACAACAGACCCTATGAATTCAAGGGGAACAGTATTTAAGAACGGAAGAAAGAAATACGCGCAGTAAATACCAATTAAAAGTAAGAAAGTAATAATAACAAACACTCGTAATTCGTGACAAATTCTCCGAGTATATCGAAGTACTCGCGAGATATTTGTTATAATGAACTTTTGAGGAATACTTCAAGACGAATTTGATTGTGGTGAATTGAATTCTCCAGATGTTCATTTTTCAAATTCTGTGAGTATTCTTCGATATGAATTCTCCATAAACTGCTATTCGCCACTGTGCTATCTGGGTAATATATCGACGAGAGACGAAACGTTCGTTTCTTTTTTTAAGTGTTCATTGTCGGTCGTACGCGTATAGTCTGTATTTCAGTACGTTCACCTGTGCGCACTGGTCGTTTTACATGGCGTCGCGTCGATATCTGTGTTATCGCACGGACAGGTGCAGGGCCGTAATTTTACCGGAACGCGCGTCTACTACTCTGCCCCTTTTGTAATAAGTAGCAATTTTAACTTTTTGCGATTTTAACTTTTGTACGCTTTGCGTCATAAGTGGCGCGCGTTAAAAGAATACGTGACGACCTCTAGTAGTATCTGAAAGATTATACAGCGCTAGTTACAACTAATTTATCGCATCGGGTTTTATTTATCCGAACGATTAATCTCGGCACGAGACGGTCCCGCCTATATAAATACAGTCAGCCCTCGACAATATGTAGATCTGACGTACGTAGTAAACCCGTACTTGCGTAGAAAATTCTTGGCTTAAAATGTTACGAAGACCAATACGTGGAAATACACACGGCCACTGTCGTGTTTTTATTCAGACGTCGTGTGAAATTTAGTTTGTAGAAACTAGACATTTCTTCGATCAAAACGCGTTTAATTCGTTCATTATTGCTTTGATTCAATCAATCTTCTTTCTTCATGTAGGATTTTGTGGAATCATTCGCCTATACGACAGAAAATTATATGTTAAATTTAACACATTTCACGTGTCCCAAACAGTCTACACAAATGTTCTTGTTAATTTAACACAAGGTTAATATGTTGAAAAGTAATTCAAATATTATCTCAACAATTAACACAAAATTAATACCTGTAATATGTTAATCGACACTGAAGTATAAAAAAAGTATACTGAAGTATAATTTTTTAACACGAGCATCGATTCAAAATATATATTGAGATATTATAAATATATTAAATTAACGTGCGGGTATGTTAAAAATTTTAACATTTGATCGACTTTAAGTACAACATATTTTCTACTGTGTACGCAAGTCGAGGGCTGACTGTACGCGGCCTTATTGAGGAGAAAACGAGATGTATTGACGAGAGAATAAGTCGAACTTGAGTAAATTATGCGCGCTTTTAACGACACCTCACTATTTTATCATAGCAATAGTATTAGAATAAAAACAAAGCAGTACATGCTGAAACGTCTATCCGCTCCTTCTTGATCGAAATTGCTTCATCGGGTGTGCGAAAGGAGGCGCATACCATGCGTTTTTAACACGGAATCGACCATGAAGGTGGAAGAAATTGCACATAGAAGCCAAGGTACACACAATTACGTCCCTGGGTAACTCTTTGTATGCGCGCAAAACCTGTACGTCCATGGAGGAGACCTCGGAGGCCGCCTCTGCTCGACCGCGTAAAATGAAACGAGTTCTCTCGGCCGGAATTGACGAAGAAAAGTGCATGACTTACGCAGGCCGGCAGATGCGCCGTCCAGAGCTTCTTCATTCCCGAAAGAAAAATATTTTCTCGCGGAAAGCGCTGTATAGCGATTGTCGCAGAATCCATTTCGACGACGATTTAACGGTAGTAGCAAACGGGCGACGCAGGAATATTATTTCTGTAAATAAATTTCAAAAGCGAACGCTGTACATACAAACGAGGCAAACGTAATGAAATGCTGGCGACGCGATTAATTGGCTTTGCGACGAAGTGTGGATATTTTTCTGTGTCTTCTCTCGAAACCGTTATATAGAGTACGGCTCGTGATTCGAAACTTTTAATTGCACACTTAATTAATAGACGATCAAACGATAGAATAAATAAGGACGAATAAATCTAATCTACTAATACCGCTGATAAGAATTGAGAAGCGAGATGAAAGTGAGCGAATCATTTTGCTTCTCAGGTAGTCCTTTGCACATTGATTGACGCGAAGGAAAGTTTCTTTGATGGAAGATCATACATAATTTGGTATCTCAAGAGTGTTAAAGCTCCTGTTTCGCAGCCATCTCGATTAATGATGTTAGAGACGAGAAATGACACTCAGTGTATTTCTTACAACATAATAGATTCATTTTTTAGTTCCTTTGAAAAAATATAATACTTTAGAATTACGAAACTATTATGTTTTCAGGGAATACGAACGAATAAATATATGTCGCAAGAAATTGACCGCATGTCGTTTTCTCGTCTCCGACTGAGTATGCAGCCAAATGAGATAGCTTAAGGCTCCGGAGTAGTCGTCGCGACTATATTGGATTCATAGACGAGAAATGACACGTGGAGAAATATATATTTTTAACAAGTATATGACATCGGCACAATTAAGCAAATAATAAAGAAATGGCACGCAGCATAAAATTTCGTTGTCAACATTCTTCACGGATAAGTGCGGTCCAGCAAGAGGTAGAAAAGCGTTTGTAGTGCTTGCTGGACGCATTAGTTCATCCTTTTGTCGTCCTGAACTCTGCCAACGCGGAGTTCTTGGCTGACTACTTCGAAGTCATGAGCGGATTTTCGTCCTGCATTATACTTCTTATATGTCGAATCAGCGTATTCTTTAAGCACGATAATGTATTGTAACGAGTATACGCTTGTACGTGTAGGATAAAGTCGACGTTTAGATGATAAATATACACGTATATATGTATATGTATTATTTCGACATTGATGAAAATTAGAACGGTCTTCGACCCGTATCGTCATTTTGCATATTACTGCCGCGTTTTTATTTAATTGTGCCATTGAGATAACATGCGATTCGAATGAATTAGTCAACCGTGTCAATTGAATCTTTCGGCCGATTTCAAAGAATTACAATACTTTGTATCCTTCGGCACACTCTGCGTCTTATTTCATTTCTTTTTACGGCTATTACAAGTTATTTGCGCAAGACTCTCCTTCATTCGTGCCATTTTCAATCGCTCGTCGATTTCTTTCTTTCTGGTTTTGTTGTATTTTTATTGTACAGGTAAGTGCAATTTATCATTTCTTTTCGCTTTTCGACGGCTTTATATTCTTTTGTTTTCTTTGCAGAGACATAAAAGAAAAATGTCGCGCAGCTTTTTCTGATCAATTGCCTCAGTGAATCACTTTTCAGTCGTAGAAAGTCTGACGTGAATTGAAAAATATCCTCTCGAAAGAGTTTATTTTTGAGATACTGTAATCTTAGTGTTAAGAAAGTGCACGTAATAATCACTGTCGTGATCCTTTATCGAGACAAAACGTCCACTGGTATTTGTAATTCTATGCTCTGTGTCGTTGCGAACGTGTATCAATCGCGTAGCTCCGACTATCGCGAGTCTGATCTCGTCAAGGACTGTGATAAAATCGTAGTCTGCAGGAATAAAGTACAACGAACGATAAGGAAAAATTACTAATTAGTACAACGGGCCTGCTGCTCAGAAAAACCAGAGTCCTCGCTTTGTATGATTGCTTTCACGTCGTTCGTAGCAAGGATCGAAAATAGTCGTGTAACAATCACAAATCGCTGTATGTCGAAATTGCACATATTAACCCCTCGACTAGTGGTAACGTAATATTGCGTTCACAAAAAGTGGTCCAAATTGGGAGAAACGCAATATTGCGTTTTGATACTTCTGGTAATTCAATATTTTTTAAATTGGATATTAAAAGATTCTTGCAGTCGCTCTATTTAATGGTGAACTTAAAAATTCAAGACGGCGGGTGTAACGTGCTTAAAATTTAAAAGATGTACAAGTTTCACAAAAATATTGAAATGTTATATTTTGGGATTTTTGAGGTCGCTGTTTTAAATGATAAGAAAAATTCAAAATGTAGATCTGATTGCTAATTCGCAACTCAAAAATACGTTACATATATATTACAGATGTCCAGTTTTATTTGGATGAAATAAAATTATGATTTAGTGCACTATTTTGCATTTGAAAAATTTGGACTTCATATTCTTAAACAACGGCCTCAAAAACCCCTAGGCAGAAAAATCAGTCGAAGGACACAGTTGTCTCCGGAACAAATCTGTCTATTGGTAATAATATGTTTCTACTTGGGTGGCGAAGCGAGAGAATGAGGGACTGACGAGTATAAATCACTTATATTTAATTACGGTAATTACATCTTCGGGCGCTCCTAAACATTAGATGTTAATAAAGTGATATTCAACAAGCACCTGTTCTTGCTCAAGGAAATTTTGACCAAGCAGACTGGCAATCAAATATCATCCGTCGGCTTATTAAAAATTCATCTTGTCGACTCTTTGGACGCCACAAAGCGGCGGCGATTTCGCGCATTCTTATTAAAACGAGCTTTCCGTCAGCACGCTCGTTGACGACGCGATCAAATTAGTAAGTTAATCGATTGAAACAAAGCGAGTTGTTCTCAGATTACATAACGCTCAATACGTATCATATAAAATTAGACGGCTTGGCAGGTGGACAAGGGGGAGAAGAAAGGTCTTTGGATGTATGAGCGAATGTGTGTGTGTGCGCGTGTGCCCCATTGTTTGTAACTCAAATTTAGCTTTTATTCATCAATTTGTTACAGTAATAATGTACAAAAGAAATTGCTCACTATGTGTATATAAAAACAAACAGAAAACGATCGACATATATTACAATACTTCATTTGATCGTTAGCTCTTTTTTCGCACCAATAATCGTCGATTACCATGTTTGATTTATTCACTTTTATTTATATTATACCAGTCCGCGCTATACACAAATATATATACATATATATATGTATATGTGTGTGTGTATGTAAGTCGGGAGGGAAAGTTGATTTTCGTGGGCTGCGTAAGCGTAATTGTCATATAAATAAAGGTAGTATTATAAAGGTAATATCAGGTAGTTTAATTCACGCAGAGTTTGACGCGGTAGTTTGAGCAGTCGTATGTGAGTTATAAGCAAACAAATTCAACATTTTTCCTTTAATTCAATCTTTCACATGAAAAAGTCGAAAACTTTCTCAAAATTTTGTTTGCGCTTATGACACTCCTAAAAATGACGAGAATATTTCCCATTTGGTCCAGCTCGTTGTTTTAGTATGTAAAAATTTACTGTTTTAAAGAATTTTCTCTTGTTACATGTCACGGTAAAATTTGTTTTTATTTATTTTCAAGTAAAGTTAATGAGATTTGTTGTTTATTATTTATGCTTTCTTCATTCACTTTGTTTTCAACTAACAAATTTCAGGATTGAATTAAAGATACTTACCTAAATAACACGGGTATATCTAAATTACGTTTCGAATATTTCATTTCCTTTATTTATGCGAGTTTCATCCCTTTGGTACAAAAGAATAATTAGTCGCAAGAATTACACATGTAAAAATTTTATTACAATAAATTTGAAGATTGACATGTAATTGAAGTCGACGTCATTAATTAAATCTAATATTGTAAAGAATTAAATTAGCGGATCTTCGCTCTCTATTCATAATTTCAGTAATAATCTCCTTGCTAACATTATCGGTATACCGTGAAATTTTCATTTGATATTGCTAGTCAGCTTTAAAAAATCATTTCGCTCTTCCGTTTGCCGATTGGATAATATCCTGAATAAAATTTTGAATACTTGCCCTATTATTGTCAAGAGCGTTTGAGTCAAGTTGTTTACAGTCGTCAAGACGCTCATTGGAATGCGGATGTGCCAGTTCGAGAACCGGGATGGGATGCAGTTCCGCATGAGAACGAATCTCGATATCGATGAACTGCACCCTCTGCAAGTTCTCTTATCCATGCCAGTTATCCATATCCATTGTTGAGTGAGAAATTATAACATTATTGTAACGCGTTACCGTTAGTTTATCGGCACGTTTATCCGCTATTAATCAAGACGGCTGCGGCTTAAATAACGAGCGAGTCAAAATTCGAACTAGCGAGCTACCGTTGCACCACGGTAACATAAATAGTTCGAATGTTATATGTCGGTGATCATTGACGCTCGTTGTTCAGATTGACGCCTTTCCCCGTCCATCTCTCCTTCAGATCTACCTTGAGGCCGAGATCTCTCAATGCGGCCTTCGCGTCGTTATCCAACTTGGCACCGTGCATGCGAATCGCGTTCTGCAGCACATCTTCGACACCGTACGCCACAAATTCCGCGGACTCGGACTTATTTCGCACCGACATGTTCCTGATCGCCCAGCAAGCTTGTCTCAGGACGCTCGTGTTCTTAGGATACGCTTTCATGGCGTCTACGATGACTTGGGGCGCGCCGCAGTCGTAGAACACGCCGGCGTTAGAAGTGCTTCGTAAAGATAACGCGGATATGCAACCCAATCCTGCGGTCACGACATACTCCGCCGTCTGTTAGGTATCAATTGAAGTATTAATTCAAATATTTCTTTGTAAAGGAAGAAAATTGAAAGAAACGATTTGATCGTCGAAAGGATCGTTCGCGAGCTTACCTTCATTCGGCTAACAGCGGATACGATTATAGGCGCGCATCCGGAAGTCACAATGTGAGATTTCACGTTGTCATTGCCGGCGAGCGCTTTCAACAATTTCAAAGCCTGCCAGTTTAATTTCTCAGAGTCCGGATAATCGATCATTATATCCTGAACGAATTTCAGGCCGCCAGCGTCTTCGACTTCTTGACAGAATTCGTTTCGAACGATCAATGCGGCCAACGTGATCATCAGGTCTCCTACTACAGTCTTATCTTTCAGGAATCCTATATAGAAAAAAATGCTAGAATTCTTCATTTGTAAATGGATTATGAAATGCAAAGAAATGGATTACCGAATGCAAGTCAATTATTCTAAATTTAAAAGAATATTTACTAAAAATTATGTAATACTTCTCCTCCATTGAAGAGACTTGATTTTAAATTCCGATTTTTTCGCCCAGTAAATATCTTTTAAAACGATACTCTCAATATTATGAATATAATGCTTGTCGCAATTGTTTTAACATACACAAGTAAATGTCTAATTATACGAAGGAAGTATTATATTACATATAGTCAATTTCTAGTAAATATCTGCGGAAGAGTATTGGAGTAACTATTTTACTTGCATCAAATAAGTATCACCTGTAGCTGTACTTTTTAACTCTATATACAAATTTTATTCGAAACATATTTGTGTATAAAAGATAACGGCACGGAGTGTATTGCTAAATATACATCTCAAAATTCAACATTATTGTGCGACGCTAATTTGTGAATAGTTGGAATGGTTACAATTATCAAGCGATAATAACCATCTGAAAATATTTCAGATGGTTATAATTGTTTAACACAATTCACGTATTCATAATTCTGCGCGATCAAATGGCGAAGACAGCATTTTTATTCGTTAATCTTTTCAATCGCACAATTTTTAACGAGCGTATTTCATAGCATCGCGAGTTTTGAAACTTTCCCGCCATTTAATCGTCTATTTATTGAGGTGACTCAAATGTGATTTACTTGATAATAATCCTGTGAGAATATCGAGAGCACCCTTCGCGATGACAGTTGCGTGTTCATGAGCCTTTCCATATTCGTGCCTGATGTCATCGTCCAGGACTAAGGCTCTGATGACCGAGCACGCGTCCTTGATCTCAGCCACGCTCGCGTCTTCGCGCACTAATATCTTCTTGAGTCTCTCAAAGATATTGGCATCGAAGATCTTTTGCCTGTTCAGTTCATGCTTTATGCAGCACTCTCGTATCCAACGTAACAGGTATTGCAACGTCGCGATGTCGTGATACTTCTCCAACATCCTGGCGAATGAAATTTCGTGAGGCACGAATCGAAAAGAAATGTTTACGAAATCGAAGACTCTTTTCTCCTACGATTTCTTTCTATGTATTCCGTAAATTTCCCTTTAACTTTAGAAAATAGCGAACATCCGTCGAAATTTGTCGTTTACTTCTCCCTAGAGTCGTGATCTTACTCTATCTGTAGCGCGATACCGTCGTCGTCCAGTAAGTCCGGATTGCCGGTCATCAGCGACGTGATGGTCTTTAGCGCGGATTTCACTATCGCGTGATTCTTTCGGCAGTCTTTCAAAAGGTCGAGCAGGATATTGTAGCACTTCTGTTTGCCCGCGAACACCCGGTGTCCGATGTCCTTGTCCAGTTCTGTGCGCAATTCTTGCAACGTTTCGGGCACGAGCTCATAGCTCTTGTCTCTCACAGCGAACGTCAGTCGTTCCAGACGTGTTATTATCGGTTCGTACTTGTCAGAGAGGGCTAAGTCTTTGACGATGTTGCTCAGGTCTATTCCCTGCGCGAAATAAACGCCGTCCGTTAATTATAGCGTAATGTGACGATTGCGTAACGTCGATCGAGACGTATCGTGTTTCGTTTTAGCCCTAATAGGAAAAGGACGAAATCTTGTATGAAATTTCTGACACAATGATGAAAATGCGAATCTATAATTATGTGAGACATGTGATTAACAAAATACATGTAGAAATATTAATCTTTGATAGAATATTGGCGCAATTAATTTCTAAATGATACTTCGGTAAAACAGTAGCGAACCATCTTAACGGAATATTTGCAAAATTAAATTTGAAAAGAAATTGCGCAATAATAAAGAAAAATATTTCAGCTATATTATATTTAAAACATTTATAGAAATATAATTGTGCCTGAAGGAATCAAATTAAAATTCCTAATGATAATTTGGAAATAGCGCAACATGAAATATTACACATTCAGTATGTCAAAATTTTAAAAAAGAAATAAGTAATCGTAAAACATACGTAAATAAAATGTAAACAAGTATAAAGTTTATTTAAATGTTTATGTGTTATTCACATAAGAGTACATTTCTCTTTTTTATTTGAATTGATGGGCATCTCATCAATTTAATAATTTCGATTAAAATATCTTGTCATATGATGCAGCAAATATTACAAAACGTTATTACTACATTATATTGTGAAAAATATTATATAAATATTATACATTGTACTGTATAAATATTTTAACAGAAATTATTATTTTAGAAATATTTCAAGTTGTGATTTTGCGTTTAAATATTGAAATAATTGGATTTGTCTAATTTCGGACAAGTATCATTTTAAGACTTTATTCAGACAAAATCGTTGCGTCATATTATCCGAGTACAATAATTGTGAAATTTTTCGCCAGTTAGTGACGCCATTATTATGTGATGTTTCCACAATTCGCCTATCAGAGAGCATTATTTCTTCCCTTTTCTCCTCTTTACAGCAAATCTCTCAGATTGCCTTACAGTATATAATTCGGCGCAAATATTATGAATTGCAAAAAATTGGCGAAACGCACGAGAAATGTTATATGACGTAAATACATCTAATTGCGGAAAAGTTTCAAATTCTCGTTATTATATTTTTTTGTAATTTTAATTCGACCTCGAACTTCATTATTGTTTAACGTGTGTGTTCACCAATCTTTTTTCCAACAACAGAAAAAATTTTGGGCGATGCGCTGGATTGACGGATCCTCACACATGCGGGAAAGGAGATGCAGAAAGGGCCTTTTCACAGATCAATATCATCCCGCGCAAGGGTGCCTCGTCACGGCGCGTAATTAATTTCCGAATTTTCAACGAAGATGCAAACCGAGCTGCTCCAAAAGGATCCAAATTAAAAATCTACTTTTGAGGTCATTTTTGCAAAATCTATGAAGCTATTGAATATATCAACTTTTCAACGAACACACACACCGAGATATTGGCGTATGAAAGTAATTAAGCTCGTACATATCGTCAGCTATTCGAAAAGTGTAAAATGCTTATGTCGTTTGATTTAAAAATATTTAATTTTTTCGAGGTTAAAGAATACCGTATACGGCACAACAATTGTATCGACGGCCAAGTTGTATAACCGAACCGGGCGTGTGAAGGGGCGTTCTTTATTGATCCGCGAGCGAGACAAATGTGTGAATAAACAAAAAGTAGTCAGTCAATACCTGAGTTTCGAAGTGCCTGACGGCGTCGTCGATAGCCTCTTCGGCGGTCATGAGGAAATCCTGCATGAATTCCCTGACGACCTCATCGTAGGCCTCCTGGGTGATCGTGTTGCTCATGATAACAGCGGCTACCTTCTCTTCGGTGTCCCGATTCACTATATAAGGAGATGAGAACGAGCGAGGAGAGCGTACGATCCGAGTGTTCCCAGTCGGAGAGAAAGAATCATCCGTTCATGAACCACTTCTTTCCCTCCGTCTGAGAACACTGCATGCGCTGACCCACACAACGTTGGGAGTTCCGATTTTCTCGGTGAGAGGAGCCCTTCCGCGCATGCGTTAAGTGCGACGTAGCAGCTCGACGTAAGCAGTTTCCAATGACGATTTTAGCCGCAAGTATCAGATTCGTGAGGGGGCCTGCGCAAAATACCCTGCAGAAGTTAAAAGTAAAAAAATATATTTATTTTTACCGATAAGCATCATTCTGTTTCTTCCACAGAAACTTTCTTCTCCCTTCTACAATCCCTTCATATTTTCTTTCAGGCGAAATAACCTGCGACACCTTAAAATAGATACGGCGCTGAGGCTATCACGTTTGCTCAATGTGCGTGCGCGAAAAGATCTCCCTAGCACCGGACCCATTTGTTCGTGGCAACAAAAAAGAACGGATCTGATCGCGTCCAAAAACACATCGTGGAATATTTATCGTAGATAAGGTGAGTTTACAAGCGCGGTAGACAGCGGATCGGTCTTACTATGTTTAGAGGTCCCCGGTTCGATTCCCGGCAGATCCAGAAAATTTTTCATACGCTCGTGGCTCCTCTTCGGTGGTCTGGCAAACCCCAAGAGTATTCATGCCAAGAAAATCTCTCTCCAAAATTTGCCGTAGGGACTGGCGTTTAAACTGTAGATCCCCCATATGCATGGGTATAATTTTCGTGCGCACCACATGCATATATGTGTGAGAGAGAGGTAGGCCTAGACTCGACATGGGGCTGTGGAGCGCCATTGAATTGGAAGGTGAGTTTACAATGATTTCACGGAACTGTTTCTATATTTAGACGCTCTGCAGTGTATTCGAGATATTAATAGTAATTTTATTATCTTATATATATATATTTTTTTTAAATATGTATATATCTGTGTAGACTTATATGATAATTGTACATTAAAGGATTTGTCCCGTCAATAAAGACTTATTATTTCCATCTCAACCTATTCAGGAGGTCGATTGCATATTTCAAAATATAATGAGAATTACAAAAGTGTGTAAACGAATTTATTAGAATATTTATAATTTCATTGGTCAACGCACCTAGCGATGCGAGGTCTCGGACAGAGTTGTTGACCGGCTATAAAAGTTATTAGAAATTATTAAAAAATCCTAGTATCTTTCAAGCATCTACCAAATACTAGATCTCGGTCCAGCATCGATCTAACATTGTGAACACAAAACCTGATGTACAATGTGTTCTTTGTTTTTTTTTCCATAATAGAAGTTTTTACGGAAGAAAGAGCAGGAAACAAGATGCAAAGATGCACATTGTAGACCAAGCGTAAAAAAAAATTTACATTAAAGCAGAAGCAGGAAAGCCAATCGCGACGGTAGTTGGCTTTACCTACGTGAGTTCGAATTGGCTACTGCTTTTCTGTCAAGATGTGAATTCTCCTTCACTTTCCGAGCAATTTAATGGCGGATCTTTTTCTTTTTGAAACAGCACGACTCAACAACAGGTTAGACAAACTTTGATCTTCAAATAGCACTACTATTATTTGCTACATGAACATATTCCCCTTCCTTTTTTTTAAGAATGAAAAAGAATCATATCGCGGATAACGTGCGAATGAAAGGGAACAGCAGTCGAGAAAATTCGCTGCCGCGAACGACAGATCGCGCTCGCTCGCTTTCGATCGCTCGCAGTCGACTTTCGTTCGAGTGCAGCGATTTCAGCTGCCTAGGCTGGCCTAACCGTGTTCGAGTGTCGCGACACGATCGACGATATATTATTGTTGTTTCGCCTCCGTCATTCTTATTTTCTGCGACTCGACCGCGAATTCTCGGAGCGACAGCCGACGCGAGCACGGAGTGACACTCTGGTGAGAGGAGGAAGGTGTTGTTTCTTCGCAACAAGCGTCATCGTACCGGACCAAAGTGCCTCTTATCCGAGCGACATTCTCGGCGCCGAAGAATCCTGTTAGCGAGGCGAAGCGCGTCCATTTATCTCCCTTCGCCTCCTGCTCGACGTCGTGGGTAAGCCTCTTCCTCGGAGCACAGTGCTTATCATCATCCCTGTGCTCGAGCTTCCGTTGTTATCTTCTTCGAGGCGTGTAACTTTTCGCCTGTACTTCCTGGCTCTATCTGTAAAATAAATAATATTTATAAATGTCTTTGCTACTAAGAATTTCAAGTTGATTGTTATTTCATCATTGAACTTTTGACATTAGATTTATTAAATTTTCTGAACTTAAATTTTTGAAAGGTTGCACCGTTTTGATCATTAGAGTGAGACAAGCTATATAGCTCAGCAACAAAGTTCTAGTTTTTATTACAGCTAATTGTTTAATATAAATGTTATGTTGCAGAGGCCGTAGGCTTGCTACGGTACCTTGGATATGAAACGTAGGAATAGCGAAAGAAAGGAGGAAGTATATTCAAACAGTGGATGTCGGCGGAAGAAATGCAAAGGGGAATGATAGAATCACGATGAGTCGCGTTGTCGCTCCTGAAAAATTATCGTAGTGTTTATATCACGTTGCCATTTAGGAGATTGAATGTATCAGCTGTGTACTTTGGAGCAGCATCGTCATCGCTACGCAGCATCTTACATATTTTATCTATAGAAATCATTTTTAAAGCGATTCTCCACTATAAGGATATATACAAATAATTTTTTTAACGAAGAATAAACCGTTATTTTTAATAATCATAAATCATAAACGCGCGAGAATCAAACTAATACATGCCCGGTGAGAAGAAAATAAACATTATATCGTCGATTCAGTAATGATCGGCTTTCCTAAATAATGCTCAAACAGCCGCAAGTAATCTTAAATAATTGTGCATTAAATAAGAACCTCCTCTGACATAATCGGAGTGTTCGTGCGAGGCAAGAAGAGGATGCGTAAGGATCAAGAGAGATTATGTCCCGTGATTATAGTGTCGTGCGAGTTCACTCACGTTTACTGCGTGCCATGTATGACTGACAAGCGAGTAAACTTATATAAGTTTTTCCATGGAGACGATGATCTGTTGATGTGATCGTTTCCTAGATGAACATCGACTAACGCGCTACTTCCAAGGCGACTTGAAACAACACACCGGTGTCGTCTCGTGCGACTGGAGAACCGAGCAGGAAGAGTTTGTACCTGGTATGGAAATTCACGTTATTGCCCGACGACCATTTGCGAGAAGCTAATTTTGCCAAGAGTTCAAGTTAAGATTTCAGCGAAACAGATTGCGACTCTTCTATATACAAAATATACATTAATTTGTTGCAATCGCTACTGATTTATACGCAGCGGCATCAAAGATTAGGCACTTACAGAGAGATATCGCAATTATTTGAAAATTGCATTGATAGTTTCAACGTTTTGTCAGGTTTTTCGCAAACGGTGGTCAGTTGACCATTCGATTTTCAAACGCCGTTCCTCCCCGACACTTATGTTTGTACGTTCCTATGTTTAGAAGGTGCAATCGACGGAGTCCTGATGCTGAAAGGAAGCTTGTCGCCGTACCTCGACACTCATAATGAAGAAGAGTCGTCCTACGTAACGCTCAGCAATGGGCCATACCGTAAGTACGCGTATTTATATCAATGTAATATGATAGTTTCCATACTCCACGGTAATGAATTAATTTCTTGCTTCCTTGTTACAGCGTATGTAGCCGATTCCGCGAACACGAAACATAACTCGTATAATCATGTCTTCATAGATGTGTACTTCGTAACGCCTATTTTCTGCAAGCACTGTAAGTACATCACTAATTGGTTGACTTTACGGAATATATAACTCGTTATCGAATAATACATAGAGAATTTTCGCTTGAAGAAGGGAAAACTTGATCGTTGGAACAATTTGTTTTCGGCTTAACACGCGAAATGAATATATATATTTCAGAGTGCGTTAGACAGATATTTTTATTTCTTTTGTCTTTCACTTACTGTACAGAAATGCGATTGAATTTCGTTTACTTTTTTTCTTATCGAATAGTCGCATCATGATTTGCAAAGGAAGAAAAGATAGGGCATAAAATGTGTATCGGTATTATAATTTTTGTCATAGGTGCATAAATGTATATAGTCATAGGGCATAAATGTGTATCGTTATTATAATTTTTGTCATAGGTGAAGATTATATCTGGGGCAATGGAAAAGTGGGGGTCAAATGCCAAGGTAAGATATTCCATTACCATCGAGTACGATTAGATATATCCTTGAAGCTGCACATTTCTCATTCGTGTCAGACATACTGTACATTTCGTTTGGAGCATCTTGCACAAGCGGGTCTTCACTATTTGCATAATATTGATTGCGAAGGGTCCGAAGATATTTGAATTTCTCTCATCACCGAAAATAGCAATCACCATTGTTTCGTCAGTCGTGACGAGACTATCCGTGAGACTCGGGGAGATCAACAGGGAGTCATTGCTATTGATAAAAAAAGGACACAACTGAAATTTAGTTACCAGATCTAGTTTTTAGCTGTGGGCTAAACTAACTTGTATTATATAGACAGTTCATTTTTGCCTGTGAGAGCTAATTATTATTTCCCGTGTAATTCGAACGTCCGAGATCGCGCGTAGTTATACACGAAAATACTTGACCTGTCCAGCTGAAGAAAACAAATATCCCCGTCACTTTTAAGGCGAGGATATTACAAAGACGAGAAGATCGCGGGAGTCAAAGTTATCCGCACGCTGGATCGCGGCAATTTGCTCTTCGCGGGATCCGCGCGCATGGATCATTGATTTTTCGTGGATCACCGTCGAGGGCGGCACTGTAGCATAGTAACACGCGATCCGCGCCGATTTCAAGAGCGGTGCGCTATCGCGTCCCCCTTCACCTTCGCTGCCGCGTTCTCGCCGCGCCGGTTTCTTTTCCGAAACTCCGCGCGACCCTCTCCGGTCTCTCCGATCCCTCCGATCCCTCTCCGTGCGGCCTCCTCATCGTACGAGCCAGGGCCGTATCTAATCAGAATTCCCACCTTCTCGGTAAGCGCCGTTTTGTCTCCGGATTCTGACCTTCTTTCCCTCTCTCTCTTTCTTTTTTCCGATTATCTCGTTGCCGCATTCGTAAGGCGTGAGATGAGATAACGGTA